TGTGTGTGTGTGTGTGTGTGGGGGGGGGGGGGGGGGGGGGTTATTATTGCCTTATGAGTTTTACTGGGGTGGCTATCATTCAGATTTTATTGATTTACTCAATGACACTTATCAATACTATTATCAGTGCTGCTATCCATATGTGGGTGTAAAATAATGACATAAAAGTAGTTAATGCTAGCTTTGACAGACCTTGTTACCAATGAAACTTTACATCTTTCTATCTCAACCTTCAATATTATGCACCTCTGCTGCCAGCACCTGGCATCTCTCTCTCCTGTTGAAAACAGCTGTGAGCAATTCATTTTCATAAGGTGTATTATCTGAAATGATCAGGAAAGCTTCAAGCAGGCCAACCTGCGAGGAGCTTGCTGGTGTTAACCTGCTTAACCGAAACCACCTCTTCACACGCATTGTCTTTAATTAAACTGCATTATCATTATTCTATGAAATTAGCTGCTGCTTTCTAACAGTCAATACTTTGGTATTGGCAAAACTTCTACTATAACCAATGAAATACCTTTTTCAATGAAATCCAAATGCTTGCAATCAAACTACAAAACAATGTCGCTAATATAAAGCTGCGAACGTGCATGTTTTATAGGCAGTAAATCACTTGATTGAGAATTAATTCATAAAGAAATATCCCCATAATATTTGCTGCAAGCAAACTGAAAGCTCAGGTAACTTTGACATTCAGTCAGCTGAAAGCCTAAAATAAGTACTTGACAGACATTTACATATCAGCATTGTATATAAAGGAAGTATTTCTGCATTCATGTTGTGCAAATGATATAAATTTACACAGGCAAGCATGCAAATGCCGAATCAAAACTACCATCCTTTGGTACCCATCCATAAGCTAACAATTAACTACCAGTGCAGATAACTCACCACCTAAAATAAAGAGATATAACACTATCAGCAGAAACTATAGTGAAAGCTACTATTTTGTGGCTTCAATGAATTTTAGCAAATGCTACCATAGTGCTATACAAAGCTGAAGAGGCACCTGGAAGCCAAACATCCTTTCTAAGAAAAACCTGGTCAATCTCATAAAAAGCTGGATAAGAATGCTTGTTGAAGTTGAGGAGAAGCGTCTGATGAGGTGATGGAGGAAAGTTATGTACTGGTGGGGCTTACTGCAAAACCTTCATCTGATGGGAACGTAAAAGGAACTGAGCACATTTCAGATCTTTTTTTGGGTGGCATGCCCTCCTCAGAAAATGAGGACCGCCCCACACCTTAAAAATTTTAATCAGTAGTGGGGTAATTTTGAAGAACTGTGATGGGCATTAACTTTTTTCCCCATGTGATAGACAAGACAATAACTGTATAAAAACTACCCTTCAGCGTTCTCGTAGACAAATCTAAGGTATCAATTACAAAATCTGATCAGAAGTCTGCTCCATGTCTCTCCGTGTGCAGTAAGGTTAAATGTGTACTTGGTATCTCCCCCTGAGAAACTTTCCAAAATCAAAACACAATTACACAGCCCTGAATTCCCATCACATTTTTCACCTGGTTGTTTGCCTGCCCCACAGTTTGAGAACCACTGGCATTGAGACAGTTTGCCACAGGTGTGTCTGTCGGTTTGCCTTAACCACAAAAAAAAAAAAAAAAAGGAAATAAATGGAAAAGTCACTCACCTTGAGCACACTGCTCCAACAGGTACAACTGGCATGAAACCATAAATGCTACTGAACACCCTAAAGGCTCTACGTGGAAAAAACAAGACCTCAAAAGGTTTCATTTAGGAACTAGTATTACTGAAAGCTTTAAATCCAACACCCAGATGCAAAAATAGAATAAAACATTCCTGGACACCTGAGAGTCTGATGCTGTCAGGCATGAGTTTCTATTTTACTCTTTAATTTGTTGTCTCAGCTTGTTTGTAGTAGTCATGGTGCAAAAATGTGTGCTGCACTATGACTGTTTTAAAGCTTAATACCATTGCCATTAACAGAACAGTATGAGGTTTTTTGGTAACATTTGCTTTTCCCAGGTAATTTTTTTTTTTTTAAAGCAGCATATTACTTGCTTTGGACTTGTTGGACCTTCTCCTGGTAACTGTGGGAGTGCTCAGCTGGATTTCCCTGAAATAAAAGGGCACCCAGAGCAACTTCTCTTTGATGCCAGCTACAGTCAAGTTTAATCTTAGCCATCGGGGACTTCCTCTGCTTTGTCAAAGCTTAGCTATGAATGACAAGTCAGTTAAAAGCAGGTGTGCCAATATTAGCAAACATGAATCATGAGGCCGAGCCAGTATAACTACAAATACAGCTTGACAGGTGGCTTATTATCTCTATGACCTGAAGAGGTTTTAAGAAGCCGAACATCTCAAATTCATACGGCCCTTTTCTGCTAAAATATCTAAAAGGGAGTCATTTAAACAGGAGGGAAGAGCTACACTCTGATGCTCATGAATCAGATCAGATGAAGACTCTTAAAAATGATCAATAATAATAGTGGAATTAATCCAACAATGAACAAATGTTTTAACTGCTGCCAAGGATGTGGACTTCATTGAAAAGGGTTGTAAAACAGAAGAAAGCTTCAAGATGAGACACAATGCTGCTAATCTAAAGCTGAAAAAAGAAGCTGTGTAAAAGTTTACAGGCCATAAATCACTAGATCACACCTCTAGCTTGTACAGCTGAGGATGAAGTCATATGGGTAAATATCCATGCAAAATGTGCTGCAAGCAAACCGAAAGCTCAGGTAACTTTGACATTCAGTCAGCTGAAAGTCTAAAAGAGCACATGACAGATATTTACATAACGGCATCATACATAAAGGAAGTAAAAGGAATAAATTTGCACAGGAGACCATGTACACTCTGAGTTGAAACTACCTGCAGAGGTTGAAAAGTAGGCTACTCCTAAAGTCACTTTCTCTGCAGATTCGCACTTCTACACAGTGTTGTTGACAGAAATGGAGAAACGTGTGTGGAGGACACAGACGGCAAGTGCACGGTCACCTAGAAGTGTGTTTGTATGAGGTCATGAGTGTTTTCCTTCTACTCTGATATCCCAAAGTCCAATTACAGCAAGCTGATATTCTGCCCTAGGGAGGAGGACCCTGGTCTTGCTGTGATATTACTAATTAACATCACAGGGGCAGATATAAAAAAAAAAAAAAAAAACGAGAGCAGGATCCTTTGCAGACACACCCTTGCGTCTTTGTTTCAGAACTTGGCAGTGTCCGTGTCCGCAGCTGTGCTAGATCAAGGGTTTTCGACCTCCTGACAGCTGCAACGTGACGGCTTTTAAAGACTGAATCTGGACTCTGACACACAGAAGCAACAATATTGAGTGTGAACAGGGCTGATTGGGCTCAACAGGAAACCGATCACCCAGGATATTGAGTTAGTGTCGATTCAGAGGTGGAAGTGGAAAGAGACCTCTGAAACTCTTTGGAAATTATTTTTCCTCAGCGATACCCACTGACATGTTTCCAATAAGCCAACAGCCACAGACAACAATTTCCACCCTATTTTTCGTGAAAAGCTACACCTACAACTGGATGTGTACAAATATTAGTCATCATTAAGGTCACAACCTGTAGAGAAGAAAGGAGCATCTTAGGATTGGAAAGACAAAAGCCCTGGTGTCTAAGAGAAGAGAGATCACCTCAGACGCTTTCACAAAGAAAGGAAACAGGAAGAAAAGAGACTGTGACAGTAACAGAAACACACAGCCTGATCGCAGCATGACAGGACAATGACTATAAACAAAGATGATACACACACACACAGCAAGACAGTCTGCTGCTGCAGGACAGCGGCTGATTCATGGCAAGAAAAGAAGCTGACTGACAGACAGAAACACACTTGCACACGGCCTTGATGGGGTGCCACGAACTGCTGACAAAAGCCTCCACAAGCGAACACTGTCCTGCTCTGTCTGTGGCTCAGCGTTACTGAGATTACGTCAACATTAAGCCAGCAATCATTTGTTTCTCTGTTTCTTAAACTCGAATGCCAAGAAAACAACTGAAGTCATGACGTGATAACTGAATTCAGCTTTAAATATTCTCTCTTTTGCTGCTAACAATTTGGAAGCAAAAAAAAAAAAAAAAGTATTTGTTGCCAACAGTTGGTTACAAAAACACCACAACATCCACAGAATATGTTGTCCTTTTCTCCAAGTGGTCTTCAGTGGAGCCTGGTGGGAGTCCATCAAATGCCCTCTACACTCTGGGGAGGGGGGGTTAACTGTACTCACAACATGGATCTCCTGCTTAACCAGCTCACAGGGCAGCACTATGGTAACAGGAGAATGCTTCCATGACACTATTCTGTTTCTCTCTGTCGCCACAGTTTTTAGATTTATGCAACAAAACTTTACGCAAATGGGTCAAGTCCCCCCCGAAGCAACTAAATTTAAACAAAGCTTGCTTTTTTTTTTTTAGAAACTACTAACTCTAGAAAATGAGCATTTGGTATGTGTGCATATAAATAAACTGCTGCACAGTTCTCCATATCATGGCACATATCAACAGAGCTGGTGTCTAATAAAAGATTAAATCTAAGGGGAGAGTGAAGGGAAAGGAAACTCAGACTAAAAAACTGGACAAGTGTCCAGTAGATGGATAGAAATGGGGGGTGGGGGGATGAACAGGCCACAGCATCTGCTGAGTCACAAGCACCTCAGTGAGTCAGCAGCTCCGCAGCCACTGATGTTTTACAGCAGCAGTGTCCAGTCGGCTTTTTTTTTCTGATGTCTAGTGTGTTGATAGCTGTCAGGGGGACCACCTCAAGGGACACAGGATCAAGGACATGCGACACTGAACTTCTAGTTCTGATTTAAACAACAAGACCAGAGTGTGTACCACTGATGTGGGGGGGAAAAAGAAATTACAGGAATGGGAAAGACTTATTTTGTTTGTACCTCAGCTTTGCCTACAATGTACCAAGAATAGCTTTTTGTTTAATTAAAGACCTTCACAGTTTACATTAGAATCAAACAGTTTAGGTAGCACAAGCCATTCATCCTCACCTGTCCTCCTCTCCTTCACCATGATGAGTTCTCAGGCCTGCAGCCACCATGAAGGCACTGGCCTCAGCGGACATCCCCATGTGGGCCAGAGTTCCAGTAGCACTGCCAGCTTCTGCGACGCCGTCTCCACCTGCTGCAGCCCCCAGCCTGGGCAGCCCGAGCAGACCTTGGTGCTGGAGCAAAAGCTTCTGGGCGTCCTCCAGCTGGGACGCTGTTATGGCAGGAACATGGGTGAAGGTTGTGCCTGGCGTGAGGATGGGCTGAAGATCAGCTTGCAGCGCAGTCAGAGGCATGTAGGGGATCCCGTGGGTGGGTGCTATGGTGATGGTGCCAGCAGAATGGGGTTGGGTTTGTGGCTGTGGACGAATCTGGGGTTGAGGTGGAGCTGGGAGGGTCTGGGGCTGTCCTGCGGCAATGGTTGCTGTAGCAGATGGGGCAACCTGACCATGATGGGGCAGCTGCTGGGTAATGCTTACGGGCTGCTGCACCGTGACCCCTGACAGTGGCGTCACAGAGACTATAGCCGTGGCATGCGGCAGTGGAGGTTGGACTTGTGTCTGGAAAGGTGCGGTGGGCTGAATAAAGTCTGGCTGTCTGACCCCCGTTTGGAGCTGAGGTGCAGGATACCCTCCCTGTGGCTGAGGCTGTAGAGGATCCACAGAATAGGGCTGCTGGGGTTTTATTAGTGGAGGCTGGCTTACACCAGTCTGTGGTGTCACCTGTGGTGATGCAGGAGGGATACTGACAGGAACCCCTGGCTTCCCTACAACAACCTCCTGAGGTGAAACATAGGTTACAGGTGTGGTTTGTGCCAGTCCCAGCAGTGGACTCTGCATGGCTTGTGGACTAGTGAAGTCCTGGCTTGGTGGCTGATAGGGCTGCACGGTGTGAGGGAGCTGTACGGCAGCTACACCTGGACTGATCCCAGCATTACCTGCTTCAGGGTCTGCAACCACCTCTGCACCTTTTGCTGCCTCCCCAATAGGAGGATGAGGAACCTCCTTTTCGTAATACTCTGTGCAAGTCCATCTCCCTTTGCGGAACGGCTCCGAGTTTGTGTCTAGTTTGACCACCCTGAAGCGAGAGCCGGTGGCTGTCTGAGTTTGGGTGTGGTGAGTCTGAGTGCTGGGAGGAGGAGCAGTAGGACCAGTTCCTCCACCAACAGGAGCCACCTGCCCACCCATGTTAGTGTTATCAAAACCTGGAGCAGCAGCAACAGCCGACACAGTAGAAATGTTCACACTGCCTTGTACAAGTGGATCAGTGGCTGCCCCACCAACAACAGAGGCTGCAGGCTGGCTTGCCCCCCCTGCAGTTTTAGTGTTATCAAACACTGCTGGTGGCCTCTGAGGCTGGTTAAGACCAACTTTGGAAGCTATAGATGGGCTGGAGCTTGCCAAAGGAGCAATGGGAAGTGTTGGCAGTGATGCTTCACCTCCTCCTAAGCTGTCAGAGTGATGATGGTGGGCCTGGCTGTGCTGCTGAGGGTAGTACTGATGATGCACAGTCCCGTTTACCATAGAGGGGTGATGCTGAGACCCCTGTGGGATAGAATGAGGCTGGAGAGGCTCATTGGGTGACACCAGTCCAGGCGTGTCGACTCCATGGAGGCTGTTCAAAGTCTCATCAGAGGAGCTCCTCTCCGGCACACCCGTATCCGTGGCCTTTGACACGGACACATCTAGCATGTCAGAGGAGGACAGGTCCTCAGTGTGGGACTCATCCATGTCGTCGTAGCTCTCAGTATCATCTGCCAAGCTGTTGTTGCCGCTAACGTTTATCTGAGCAGAAGTGACACTTGTGATCTGGAAGCCGCTTTTCTTCTTCACCTGAGCTCCAGCCACTTGGGACTGAGGCTGATGGTGGAGTCCAGGAGAGGAGGATCCAACCTGGGTTGGATTGTCGTCCACTGCGCTGACACCAGCAGCGGAGGAGGCTGGGGGCGCCCCGCTGCTGCCTCTCCTATAGTGGTAAGCGGTTTTCCGGCTCCCGGTCCCGGACAGGTCTCCGGGGAAGTCTTGGTGGTGCATTTTTATGCTGAAAGAGTTTCTCGAGGCCAAAAAGCTGCGCTGCCTACTAGCTAGCGCAAATAGCGAGCCATAAGTGAAAAAGTCACGTGATTAACGTGCCTTGAAAAACAAACAAACACACATACACACACACACACACACACAAGCCAAACGCTCCCAGCTGCAGTCAGGCTAAAACCCAAGCTTGCAAGCGGTGTTCCTCTTCCTAACTCTGCAGGAGCTAAGCTGCATGACAATAAAAACAACACTATAATAGATTACAAAATAAATCAACAGAATGCGAAATCCAGGTAGCCGCTGGCTAGCTAAAGCGGCGCTGGGTCGATTAGATACGCTCCTCTGGAACTTCGTGTATCCTTTCACCCTCCCGATTACGACTGTATTTTTGAGGATATTGCTGCCACTTTAAGCACGGAGAAATGAGGCAAACCGAGAGCAAATTCAGCTGCACTCAACCACTCCTCAACGCGAATCTGCAAGCCTCTTAGCTGGCCGGTGCGTGTCGCAGGAAATCAGCCGTCGCATCCATTCCTTCTCCCGGACGTCGAGTCTCGTTTTACACCTCAGAGACCAAAAAATGAGTCAGAGACACCTTCTGCTCTTAATGAACGACGGTGTTAAATAATATCCGTCTTTGTAGTGGTAAAAAGTACTCGTTAAGTCCATCTCAGGTTGTCGTATCACGTCCGTGTTTGCTGTCTCATTGCCGGTGAGCAGCAGCAGCAGCTAACGGGCTGTCAGTCTCAGAGGAGGGAGGAGGAACGCAAACATAACCACTGCGCATGCGTATCCGGGTCCATTTCTTCACACTAGTGCAACGTTCATGTTCGATTGTTGGAACGGATTTTCCCAAACACTAGAACACTGTCGCGTAATAGAACGGGTTTTGAGCTTAATAATGAATTTAATTTTTTGATGACCCAACTTCTGGACCATGGGTGTAACAGATATGGCTTCAGGAATTTCAAAAACAGTAAAAACATCATATGCGACATAGATAGAATATGTTTCACAAATTGACCTGATTGCACATGAAAGGCAGCATCAGCCTAAGTGTTGTGTTTGTTTTTTTCTAGGAAGCCACTGTTTTGAAAGAACTACTAAACTGTTAAAATAAACAGCACTGATTGATGTCTGCCTGTTTCAAGCATGGGTCTTACCCCTGCTTTTATTTCCTTATTGTGAGTTATTACTTCAAACAATCACATCTATACATATGCAAGAAATTTATGTATTCTTTTTTATGGGCAGGGTTTCAACCCTTTTATTGCTGACAACAGGCCATAACTATAATGCTGACACAAACTAACCACCTCATCAGATAGGATCGCCTTGTTCTGCCTGTTGGGACCTATTCAACCAACGAGGATCCCCTTTTTCAGATATTGTACCTGCCTGCTGTTCCTGCCTTCTAGCAATAGATTCTCATGTTTAACATATTGAATCAGGACTGCAGGTAGAATTGGTGCAATTTAATTAAAAGGAGATAAAAAGAGAAATTAAAGATCTGAGCAGGGCCTGTCAAATCTTTTCCAGGATGTCAGTACTACAGAAATCAAACACGTCACACCTGGAGGGGAGGGTGTGCTCTGGGAAAGTTCCACTGTGAAGTCCGTTTCCAAAGATTGCATAATATTGATGCCGCAGAAAGTAAACAGTGAGATGCAAGTCATGCTTTCTGTAAACGATCAACTGGATCATGAACACCGTTCCTGGACAGCCTCAGGAATTTACACTGTGTTTACATCGGACTGACACAGGCAATTTCAAATAATAACTAATTGAACTACACAAAACAATCAAGCTCATAAATACAGGGTGCTGTGATTTAACTCTTCAAATCATATTGTAACATAATATGACAAATAACAATCATCTAATGAGCTAACGTTAAAAAAGGTCAAAAGCACCATCCAAACCACAGGTGGTTAGATGAACATTTATATGCTAATTTGTTTTTAAGGTTTATTCGAAATCTTCGTCAATGCAGAAATTATGTGATTGTGAAGCCAGAGTGTCTTCTTATTAACTACTACAGGCTAATGTTTCTTATATTTTTTTGACAAACACGTTTAATAAAATAGCTCTAAAGTAAGTGCCATTGCAGCTTTCCAAACTTAAAGAGCATGAAGCAATGAAAGCATGTTATGACAGAAGTATTAGAGCACACCCTAGGAGAAAAAAATACTCAAGGTGGAATGATTTCAGTATAAAACCACCAACATTTATTTTTTGCACTTTACAAATAGCTTTCGTTTTTAGTGCTATTTATAAAGCTGCAATAATATATCATATAATTCTAATTTAGGAAAAGTAAAAAAATTACACTACCGGTCAACAGTTTTAGAACACCCCAATTTTTCCATTTATATTTTTTGCAGTTCAAGTCATTCAAGTCCAATAAATAGCTTGAAATGGTACAAAGGTAAGTGGTGAACTGCCTGACGTTAAAAAAAGAAGATAAGGTTACCCAAAACTGAAAAATAATGTAAACTTCATAATTATGCAAAAAGGCCTTTTCCAGGAAACACAAAATGGGTTAACAGTTTAAAGCTGTTCTGCAGCAATGGAGGTTGATCAAGCCTTGAAAGCTGGTGCTACTAAGTCATACAGGTGTTGCAAAAAAAGCTGTCCATGCTGAAAGGAACATAAAATAAATACCCTTGGATTAATTGTAAACAAATCCAGTTTTTCCTCATTTTCATCACTTTCACAATATGTCTAGAACCTTCATCAACTTTGGCGTCTTCTCTCCTAATTGGGTTTCAGTAAAAGTACTGTTCAAGATTTATTAGGTTGCATGAGCTTCTCAAGTTCAGTCTTAATAGCAGAGCAGTGCACACACATCAGCACACGGGTATGAGGAGATTCAGCATAGTACTAAATGGTAAATGGCCTGTATTTGTATAGCGCTTTTACTAGTCCCCCCTAGGGACCCCAAAGCACTTTACACACCCAGTCATCCACCCATTCACACACACATTCACACACTAAATGCTACTGTTCACTGTTCCTTTGGCCACCTGAACATGTCATTGCATCAGGGCAGAAAAACTGATTTTAAACCTGAAAAATAGGGAAGCAACCTGTTGTGGGGAACTTCTACACTGTTGTTTAGCTCTTCTGGACTCACACTGAAAGCAAAATATTAGTCTTAGTCTTCGTTCACAGGATCCCCTAGAACAGTGTTTCTCAAACTTTTCACAATAAGTACCACCTCATAAAATATATGGCTCTTGAAGTCCCACCCTTATGACTGACATTAAAGTACAGTAGTATAGGCCTATTTAACACCACATACAGTTTACACAAGACAATTTTATTTCTTATATGAATGTTCTTTATTGTAACTGTCATAAACAGGATGTGACAAGTGATAATAATAACAACTGTACTGCATTAAAACATTCACAGCAGGTGGGATATCCAATCTTTATGTGATAACATGATGAACCCTGCTTCCAGGTCCAAACTACTCTGCATTTATTAAGGCTGTTGTGTTTTTACATGTTTTAATGTTTTTGTTCTATTTAATCTGAACAAGCCCCTAAAAAAGGCAGTGATCACCGTAGGCCTCTCGGTTTTCCTCATCACTATTCATTTGAAAGCTCAGTTTTTAAAACTTTTAAAATACAGCCAGCCCATGCAGCAGTATATTAATGACTACATTATATTGCAGTTGTTCTCCTCACTGAAGTTTGGTCCGTTTACATCATCCCGACATGCGATTGCCTTTGTCCCTAACCTTCAGGAACCCTCACATTAACTTTGATTTTTATTTCCAGCTTGAGTGAACACTGGCGCGTCTGGCTGCCGCTACTCACCGGTAAATTTTTTTGATTATTTGGATTTATTTGGATTAATTGGATTATTTGGATTCAGATTTGAATGAACAGGAACATTTTCACTCAGGACCAGATCGATCTCTGCCAGGGATTGATTTGCAACGCTTGTCCTCAACTTCTGTTATTTCAGCTGAATGTGTTCTCACGTCTTCTTCTCAGTGAGCTGCACTAGCTTAACTGTTTGAGCTATTTTAGCCTACCTGTTCGTTGCTCCGGCCGGCTCGGCTCCTTTTCCTCCACATAATCGAAGATGTGGACCAAGATGTTCCTGAGCTGGTCGACACTATTTTGGATTCTCCTAACTCTCGTCTACCATCCTACGGCTGGACTGCTCCGCTATACAGCCGCTGAGCTCCTGCGCCTTCGCGGGCAGCTATCGCTCCCGTCGCCGGCGGAGCTCCACTACCACCCGGGCATCACTTTCCAGCCTCGCCGGAGATACATCCATCGCGGGTCCCGCAGGATTTTCCATAACTCCAATGGAACTAAATCGTTCTGGTCTGCTACTCGCCGCCCTCGCA